TTTGAGCTTCAGCTCCACGTCTGGCCTTTTCTGCTTATGTGGTGCTGAGGAATTGAACCCAGGGCCTCATGCATGGAAGGCAAGCACTCTACCTCTGAGCCACCTTCCAAGCTCTCCCCCCCCCCCCCCCACCCAAGCAGTGGTTTTGAATGGAGTTACTTAGTTTAGATCTAATCTTCTTTTTACAAGTGGTAACATGTGACGTGACTTTTCTGGACCTTAATGTCCTTAACCTGTAAAAATGGAGGTGCTAATGTGATCTATATAATTATGATGATTAAGTGAATTAAAGTAAGATGTAAGTGCCCATTAAAGAGATTCACAGTGAAACTTTGTTGGGAGATTCAGGCTTTGAGCTTGAATCTGAGCACTTGGCCTAGAACTCAGGGAAGAGCTGGGCTAGAGAAGAGCCATCTGGAACTTAGGTCTGTACCTCATAGAGAATGTTTATTTACATATATATGTATATATACCTCACTCTCTGGTAGTGACAGGTCCTAAAAAGCTCTGTGCTCTCAGAACTCAGGTTGGAGGAACTTAGACTATACAAGCATAAATTCCTGATTCTTACAAAACTATGAAAATTGTTTCACATTTCCCAAAGGGAGAGAAAAGACAGTAAGCAAAAAAAAACAAACAGTATCACTGATAGTTTTACATACTTGCGCTGTGCTGGAGTTGAACTCAGGACTGACCGCACATTGGCAGGCGACCAGCTGTGCCCCCTGTTATTGCTTAGTTATTATCCTCTTTTTCCCTCTCTCTTTCCTCTTCCCTTTTCTCTCCCTCCTTCCTTTCACGTGGGTTAATATTGTAAAATGGCTTTCAGGCCACTGAAAAATGGTTAAGTTTCAGAAAACCACTAAAGTTTAGCTCTTGGATTGTTTATGGACCATTTTATTGCTTAAGTCAAGGTATGAGCTAAAACATACTGTGAGAAATTTGGGGAACTATGAGAGGTTCCTACGGTAGTAATTGTAGATGTTTTTCATTAGGGTTTAATTGTTAATCCATAGTTTGTGAATGACTAATGGGGGTGGGGATTGAATCAAAGTTTACTATGTTTTTTCCCCTCCACCTTCCTTCCTTCCTTCCTTCCTTCCTTCCTTCCTTCCTTCCTTCCTTCCCCCCTCTTTTTGCCTTTTCGTTCGTTCTTTTTCATTTTTCTTTTTTGATGTTCTGAGGCTTGAACTCTGGGCCTCACATTCTTGCTTGGCTTTTTTACTCAAGGCTCACCACAAGTCTACCATTTGAGCCACACCTCTATTTGCAGCCTGTTGCTAGTTATTTGGAGATAAAAGTCTTGGGTTTGTCCACCTGGGCTGGTTTCAAACCCAAATTCTCAAATCTCAGCCCTTCTGAGTTGTTGAGATTATAGGAGTGAGCCATGGCACCTGGCAGAATCTTTACTTAAATTAATCAAAGGTCAAGTTTTCAGGAACTTGTCATTACTCAGCATATGACGGTTTAGTTACTCTATGTCAGTAACAAAGTTAGTTATCATGGGTATGCTTTATCTGATGCTGAGTACTACTTTTTAAATGAGTAGTGACTAATAGATAAGGTTTCTAAGAGGTGTCAGAGAATTTTCTGGGGGTATTTTTGTTTTAAATCTTTAGGTACTTAAAGCAGTAATTTTTGTTTCATTTTTGGTGTTGGTCCTGGGGCTTTTACTCAGCTCTTCAGCTCAAGGCTAGTGCTCTACCACTTGAGCTACAGCGCCACCTCCGACTTTTTTTCTTTTTGCTTATGTGGTGCTGAGGAATCGAACCCAGGGCCTCATGCATGCGAGGCAAGCATTCTACCACTAAGCCACATTTTCAGACCAAAGCAGTACTTTGCAGTACTTTTTAATTACTAACAATTTTTAATTTCTAACAACTTTTAATAAAAAATATTTGATTGTACTTTTGATATGAAATAGTTTGATATTAGTAATACCACTTCTTTCTATAGAAGTGATTTAAGTTCACAAGCTAGGTAGCAGTGTAACTTTATTATTGTTGTTATTATTAATTAGCTGTATGAAGGGGTTACAAATCCATAAGTCAGATTTTCAGTACAATGCTTCTTGGTCAGTGTCACCTCTCTCATGGTTCTTCTCCATTTTCCTCCTCTTGTTTCTCTCAAGTTACATAGTTCATTCTTTTTTTTTGGTCGGTCGTGGGGGCCGAACTCTAGGCCTGGGCGCTGTCCTTAGCTCTTCAGCTCAAGGCTAGCGCTTTACCACTTGAGCCATAGTACCACTTCTGGATTTTCTGCTTTTGTGATGCTGAGGAATTGAACCCAGGGTCTCATGCATGTAAGGCAAGCAGTCTACAACTGAGCCACCTTCCCAGCCCCTACATAGTTCATTCTTTAGATAATGTGCATTCATTGAATATAATTGCTACATTTATCCACCCTTCCTCCATTCTTGTGACCCCCTGCAGCAGTATTAACCTTTTATGGGTGGACAATGTCAAGTGAAGAGCCTAAAGGTTGTAACTGTCCAGTTGATACCTAGTGACTAAACTTTATATTTTCCTTCCCCATGGTCCATGCTGGAATTTAAAGACTAACCATTTTTGAAATTAGCTTCTATTGTTATTATACAGAGGGGGATTTTATTGTTATATTTCCATATATTTGCAATATGTGTCAATCAACCTCATTCCCTCTATCACTCTCTCGACACACTCTTACTCCTTTCCCTCTTCCCCCCAAATGGCAACAGGTTTTATTGTGTAATTTTCATAGTTGGAAACAATCTATTTGGACTACACTCATCCTCTTTCAAAATGTACTTCAAAATTCTTTACCTTCATTATTTTTGTCCTTCCCCTTCCCCATTTCCTCCTAAATAAGACTGACCTTTTTTATTTTTTTGGTCTGTTGAGAGGCTTGAACTCTGGGCCTGGGCACTGTCCCTCAGCTCTTCAGCTCAAGGCTAGCGTTCTACCACATGAACTACAGCGCCACTTCCGGTTTTCTGGTGGCTTATTGGAGATAAGAGTTTCATGGACTTTCCTGCCTGGGCTGGCTCTGAACTGTGATCCTCAGATCTCAGCCTCCTGAGTAGCTAGGATTACAGGCGTGAGCCACCGGTGCCCAGCAAGACTGACCATTTTTAAGTGTAACTTCCTTCCTCTCTCCCCTCTCTCTTTCTTTCTTCCCCTCTCCCCTCTCCTGAAAATTTGACTTTGGACCAAATGTAACTAGTTATTTTTGGAAATAAAACCATTTTGATGAGTACTTTTTATATGCTGTACACTTTCAAAGCTGGAGAATACCACTTGACCTAAGGGATTATTTGATACAAAGCATTTGAACTGGTAAAATAGTTCAAATCCGGAATATACACAATTTCAAACAGACTATTCCTGATTCAAAAATAATTCACACATTTAATCCCTTGTCCCCAGCTTCTCATTCAGTGAAGTATCTCTTGTTGCTGCTATTTGGAGCACAAAGTTGGAACTTCTAAAAAAAGCAGTAGTCCAAAATAGGAGAATTAAGTTAAAAGCAGAAATATTGCTGCATAAGTGGAAACTCAAGCTATACAACAATCCACTTGCCCAAAAATGGTTTTCTTCACACTACCTGAGTAGTTTTTAAATTTTATTTTGCAACACTATTTGGACTACTGCCAGTAAATTCATTTGGGCTAACAAATATACTTGTTGGAAATTGCAAATATTAATGTGAATTATTTTAGCCTTGTTAATACCTAGGTATTAGGAAATGGAATTACTCTGAGGATGGTAGCTTAGCAGTTAGAATAAGTTTGAGAAAAGGGCTGTTAAGTAGAATCATTGAAGGGCCACAATGTAAAGTATAGGATGGGGGATTAAGAGAGCAACAAAGAAAACAAATACTTTAGAACTTGTCTAAATGATGTAGAATGGAATGTATTTCTTTTGCAGAATTCTCTACATGACTTATCTTTTAGGATAATAGATTCTTTTTTTTTTTTTTTGGTGGTTGTGGGACTTGAACTCAGGGCCTCTGTGTTGTCTCTGAGCTCTTTTGCTCAAGGCTAGTATTCTTACCACTTTGGAGTCACAGTGCCACTTCTGGTTTCCTGGTGGTTAATTGAAGGTTAGTCTCATGTACATTCCTGCCTTGGCTGACTTTGAACCATGATCCTCAGATCTTAGACTTCTGAGTAGCTAGGATTACAGGTGTGAGCCACCAGTTCCTGGCTGGTATAATAGATTTCATTTGACTCGCTTTGGACTTGGTCAACATAAACAACATTTTATTTGGAATAATCACTAAAATTTTCAGGATCAATTAAAAAGTAATTTTTGACCAAATGATTTCAGAAGTTAGATTTCAGCTTGTATTTGTCTTTGCTCCTGTTATCATGTGTTGTCGGCTGACAGCTAGCTATAAGGCTCCTTTCACGTCTCCATCCTCATTATGTAATTAAATGCCAGTGGAAGTAATAAGTAGGAAGGGGGATATTGTAAGAGAATTGCAGTAAAATAATGAATGACCACTTGGAGAACTGAAGAGGGAGCAGGGCTTGGGAGAAATGTCTCTGAACTTTATGAATAACAGTGATTGATTGGCATGTTATCTTTTCAACAAGTAACTTTTATTATCTCTGCCTTGATAGTAAGTCACTATGAGAGTGAATTTACTTTCATATGATCTGTGAACTGATAATTACAAAATGTACATAAATTATATAGACTTGTCAAATATTATAAGTTCATTTGATACCTAAAATATTCATTGGTACTAAACATATTTTGAAAAAACTTTTTCTTTCCTCTGAATATTGAATATATTTTAATTATACTTGATTTTTTAAAAAATGTACTTCATTTTGATAAATGAAAGGCTAAGGGAAATTATTCAAGTAAACTTAAATGTTAGTCACTTTTACAAGTTTGAAATAGTTTTGTGTATAAGTTTGGGGGATTGTAGTTAGATCAGTTATTCCTTAGTTAAGGATACTTGTCTTACATCATTATCTCTTATTGTAATCTGTTTTTCTTCACACAGTGTTATAGTTTTGCCGCTGGACTCCTCCCTCCCTTCCCCCACCCCGTCAGGATGCTATGAGCCTTGAAAGAAGACGATGCATACAGGTGACTCAAGTTTTGAAATATAGTAAAAACTGTGGTTGTCTAAGAAAATGTGGAACTGATGGAATATTTTATTTGAAGGAGCTTTCTGATAAACAGCATGTAGTGGGGGGTTATGTAGATTAGTAATGCAGATAGAATATTTACTAAACTTGATTTTGGGACTCTGTTAAGAGTTGTTATAAGTGGTGTTAATACAAGTACAATATAATACTATTAAGCTCTTCAAAAGTTGGCTGTTATGTTGGTGGTAATGGAAGATTTTTGTTAGTAAAATATATCTCCTAATGGTTAAATATATGTTTCCCCTAGATCCATCCCTATTAGAATATAGTAAATGGGAATCAGTGCTAGTAGGATAAGTTTAATAAGACTGACAGCAGTCAGTTGTAAAACTGGTTCATTAAAAATTTTGGTTTAACTGGGTTGCTGGTGACTCACGCCTATAATTCTTGCTACTTAGGAGGCTGAGATCTGAGGATCATGATTTGAAGCTAGCCTGGGTAGAAAAGTCCCCGTGAGACTCTTATCTCCAATTAATCACTCAAAAACTGGAAGTGGAGCTCTGGTTCAAAGTGGTAGAACGATAGCCTTGAGCAAAATAGCTCAGAGACAGCGCCCAGACCCTGAGTTCAAGCAAACCCCAAGATGGACTCCCTCGCAAAAAATTGGTCTAGGGTTTTATTTTCTCTTTTTTTGTTCTTCCCTACCTATATCACTTTCCCTCCTTTCCCCTTACCCTTTCATCATTTTATCCTTTATATTTATTTGTGAAAAGTAGTGTAAAAAGTTTATGAAGTAATGTTTTTGAATGTTCTATAGTTACTTGAGATACTCTTGGGAAAAAGGATGGCAATTACAGATATACCTGGGGTTCAGACTCTTGAAAATAAAAAGTATTTGGTTATCTCATAGTTTACTTATAGATATATCTACTTTGGGAAAATTTCTCTCATGAGATTGCAAGGTGGCAGTTGCTATTGGTCCTTAGAAGGTGCAGGATTTCCAAATAGTTTTTTTTCTTTAAAGACAGTGGAGTTAATGGAGTTAAGTATCCAAAGAATAAATGTGCTTTGTAAAAGTTACCCAGTTAACTTTGTGATTATTAGAACACAGAAAAATTTTATGGACTTGGTTTGGATGTCTAGTCTCTTACTATTGGTGCATTTCTCTATTGAAAGTTCATAATTGTTTTTGAACATAAAATTAATAGCTTTCGAGTCATGTCAATATTAGCAGCTTGCTATATTATTGTATACACATTTATCATATTTCAGCTGGTAGGATTTGAAAACAAATTTCATACTTTCTCAGGGCTTGCTTTTCCTACAGGCATTGCTCATGTTGCTGACTTGGTTATGTTAGTTGGATTTGGTGGTAACTTACTTTCTTACACTGTGAGGGTATGGAAGTAAGATTGAGAAAGAACATTAAGGCAGGAATTGGCTTTTCAAGAGTTAAAATGTTATTAGTAGATTTCCATGGTATCTATGTAAGGTGAGTGTATCTTAATTTGCTTGATATTAGTAATCATTACACATTGTGTGTGCACATGCATGTCTTAAATTTGTACATTTTTTATTTCCCAATTTTGCCTCAATAAAGATGGATAGAAAAAAATGAGACAAATTACTGGCCACCAAAGGTTGACTTTGTACTTTAACAGACCATACATAAATAAGTCATTCTGTGTTGTTATATTTGAGGTTCCCCTCCATATTTTAAATATAATTAGAATATAAGAATGAAGTAAATTTTGGACTTTCTTTGAATTTTGGAGGAAAAAAATCACTTGTTGGTTAAACATTTGGCTAGTGTTTGTCCTGAGTACTGTGCTGGGCAATTTCCCTGCAAGGATCCCAACTCTTAGCAATCAGTGAAGGCAGAGTGTATATATGTAAACAAACAATTCAGTGGCTGTATATGATCAAATTTTAAGACTTGCCTGTTAAAGTCAAACCATTCAGAATGAAAATAGAAAACACTCTTGGTTATAGGGTTCTCCGTTGACTTCAGCTGACATATATATGTCCCTGCTATAAAAAATCGTTCTGTGTCCCTGCCTTCTTGCCTAAGCGCCAACCTGAAGTAACTGCCTCCTGATTTCTCTTTCACATGTGCCCCTCCTTTTCTATTTAAACCTAGTAGTGAGGAATGTTACATTCTACCCAGAAATGCTGTCATCCTGGGAATCTAGAAGTAACCAAATATAGTTAATTTTGGGTGAAGAATCACTCCTGAGATTAGATTTGGAGAAAGTACATCTTTGAATAATACCATGCATATTAACATAAAGGCTCCTGTAGGAAGAAACCACCCTTAAGCTAGTATTCCTTTGGTTTATTTGATTAAAGAACTTCCTGTTCTATGCCAGTTTTGATTAAGATCATCACAGTTAGTCATTTAGGATGGTAAGTGTGGGTAGAATGCATTTGATGTCATAAATATTTCTCTGTGGCATCAAAAAACTAACATTAGAGAATCTGCTGTTGTGAACTTGGAGCAGATCCTAGAGCATTTAGGACTGTAAGCCAAGCTAGGTGCTTGTGGCTCACGCCTGTAATCCTAGCTATCAGGAGTCTGAGATCTGAGGATCACACTTCAAAGCCAGCCACAAAGCCAGCCAGGGCAGGAAACTCTGTGAGACTCTTATCTCCAATAAATCACTAGAAAATGGGAAGTGGCGCTGTGGCTCAAGTGGTAGAGCGCTCACACTGAGCTGAAGAGCACAGGGACAGCACCCAGGCCCAGAGTTCAGGCCCCACAACTGACCAAAAAAAAAAAAAAAAGAACTATAAGCCATTTTGAAGGTGATTTCTTTTTTGGAGAGGTAGCTTTAGTGTTGAACTCAGAACCTTGTACTTACTAGACAGGCTCTCTGCCACTTGGGCCATATCCTATATTTCAGAGGAGTGATTTTTTTTTTGGTCAGTTGTGGGGCCTGAACTCTGAGCCTGGGTGCTGTCCCTCAGCTCTTCAGCTCAAGCTAGCGCTCTACCACTTGAGACACAGCGCCACTTCCGGCTTTTTCTGCTTTTGTGGTGCTGAAAAATTGAACCCAGGGCCTCATGCATGCAAGGCAAGCGCTCTACCACTGAACCACCTTCCCAGCTCCATGAGGGATTCATTTTGACACTTTTAAGTCTAGATTTTAGCCTTTTATAATCATTTTCTAGTTGTTAGAGATCCTTTATTCTTAGATAAGAAGTTTGAATTATTTTCAGTTTTAAAAGTACTAATATGGTGCACGTAAAAATTGATTATATGTCCTATTTTCTTTTTCTTTTTCTGGAATTCTTTTTTTGGGGGGGGGGTCCGGTCGTGGGGCCTGAACTTTGGGCCTGGGCGCTGTCCCTCAGCTCTTCACCTCAAGGCTAGCACTCTACCACTTCCAGCTTTTTCTTTTTGCTTATGGGTGCTGAGGAGTCAAACCCAGGGCCTCGAGCATACAAGGCAAGCACTCTACCACTGAGCCACCTTCCCAGCCCCCTGGAATTCATTTTGATAACTAATACTTTATATGACCAGAGGTGTATTCCTCCCCTCCTTTGGTCTCTTGTGTGTGAATGCCTAGAGTCCTGTGTAATTTTATTATGTCCTGATGTATTTCAGCTCTAGCCTTTTCATATGAGAGAAAACATGTGCTGTTGGTCTCGCTGAGCTTTGCTTAGCTTACTTAGCATGATTTGTTCTAGGTCCATCCATTTCCCTGCAAATGACATAATATCCTTTACAATGGCTATGTAAAATTCCATTGTACCACATTAAAAAAAAAACAACTCATCTATTGTAGGGCACAATTTGGCTATTATGAATAGTGCAACAATGAACATGGATGTGCAGGTGTATTTACAGTATCCTGGCTTGTGATGTTCTGGGAGAATGCCCAGGAGTGGTATGGCTGGGTTCTAGGGGCAATCTATACTTAGTTTTTTGAGGAACCTCCAGACTGCTGTCCAGCGTGGTTGTATTAGTTTACATTCCCACCAAGAGTGCAGTAGGGTTGTTTGTTGTTTGAATTCACAATGTTGGCCAATCTAACTGGGATGAGATGGAAGCTCAGAATTGCTTTGATTTGCATTTCTTTTATGGCCAAGGGTGATGAGTACTTCCTCATACGTTTCTTTGTCATTCTTACCTTATCTTCTGAGAAGTCTCTTTTTAGCTCCTTTGCCCATTTATCGATTGATTTATTAATTGGAAGGGGTTAATTTCTTGAGTTCCTTGTATAATTTGGATATTAGGCCTTTGTTGGATGTATTGTTGGTAAAGATATTCTCCCAGTCTGTTGGCTGTCTTAATTTTAGTAGCTATGGAGAAAATATTTATTTTGATGAAGTCTATTTGTGAACGTTCTCTTATCTGTTGTGCCTCTGGAACTCCTCTCAAAAAGTTTCTGCCAATGCCTATAAGTTCTAGTGTTTCTCATACTCCCTCTTGCAGTAGTTTGAAAGTTTTTGGTCTGACCCTGAGGTCTTTGATCACTTTGGCTTGATATTGGTGCATGATGACAAACCAGGAATCCCCTTTTAGTTTTCTGCACGTGGATGCCCAGTTTCCCCAACACTGATTATTGGAGAAGGCTAACTTTTCCCCACCATATATCTTTGGCTCTTGTCAAATATCAGATAACTGTAAGTATATGGTTTTATTTCTGGGTCTTAGTGTCTGATCCATGGATCTTTAGGCCTTTTTTTTATCCTAGTACCAATTTATTTTTGTTATTACAGCTCTGTAGTAGAAAAGAAAAATAAGAGAAAAAAATACTATAAAACAAGGAGACTAAACTTGAACCCTAAATATGATGGTGAAAAACATATTGTCTTCAGAGAAGTGTCCTTGAATAGCAGAAAAAGTATCAACCAAGAGGAAATAAAGTAGATAAAGAAGTATTCCAGAACAAGTGATAGTTGTTAAATACAAAGATGTTTAATCATGAAGAACCAAAGTACTGAAACTTAACAGGTTCTAACAATTAGAATTCTAGAAAAAACTTTTTGAAA